GTGTGGGTACAAAGGCATGAAACAAATGATATGTCTAAAGTCAAACTGATCACGCGAACTCCGCCATCTGTGCTGAGTGAGTTCCTGTCCTGCACTGAGCTTTGCATGGGTAGACACCTGTGCCTGCGTGGAGCTCATTACAGAATTGGGGTTCATCAAACCCTCAAACATTTTAAAAAGCTAACATGGTGTTAGTAACAGAGGAACTGATTTTGAAGTGGTATGATGTTTTTCCTCGAACAGTCTCTTCAAAGGAAGGTATTCACTACATACCTAACTATAACTATTTGTTTGATTTTTGTTAATATTTAGAAATAGTTCTTTCCCCAGGCATTTTTATAGCCTTTGTGAAGCAGCAGTGAAAGAAGTGGCCATGGGTGGCAGTGTGTAAAAGAGCACTTGAATTCGGGAGAGTTCTGTTTTTCTCTTTTTGTCCAGGAAAATCTGGTTGTATCACACCCCGAGTACATATTTAGCTCTTGAGAGGAGCTAAACTAAAAAAGAAATTGAAAAGCATTTAAAGGCTAAAGGTAAAAGGAAGGCATCTGAATAAAATGAAGAGCGTTATTAGATGCCAGCTCTTCACAGCAAACTGACACAAACTGTTTCATTTATTTGTTAGTTTGCAGAGCTTCTCTTCACCCCAAAGAGCATAAAATCTACCTTAACTAACATCAGCATCCCAGCGGTAAGATATTGCACTACCTTTCAGTTCTATTGGCCTCGGAACTAAGGAAAAGGTGTGTCAGTGCAGGGGGTCCAGCACAACGGGATTCAAATCCAAGCATGAAAGGGACTCTGGGCATTAGCCCAACACTTTTTTTTTTTTTTACAAAGGTGCCTATCATTGTGGTGCCTGTGTGACATTGTCTGGGTTGGGGGCAGAAAGGTCTGATGCCAGATCCAGACCTTTTGTCTTATGCATGAAAAAAAAACCAATAGGGGCACCAGTCTTTCTCAAACCAGGAAGGAATTTACTTCCCCGATTGAGGTGTGCGGGGGAGTCTCCTGTTCAATTGTATGAAGTGTCAGCTTGAGACCAGATCTATCTGACACACACAAACAAAAAAGGAAAAGGAGAAAAACTCAAATCCTCTCCAAATTATACAGGCCAAAAATGGTGGGCCAGATTGTGCCCACCCCCCATTACTTTGTGGAGTAATTATCTCAGGCTGCAAATAATCTTGTTGATTTATTACTCATGAGTAAAGGGAGCAAATATCTGGCCCTATAGTCTTAGACTCGCAGTTAGGATATCACCGTGCTCCCTATGTCTCTTTGTAAATAGTTCTGGAATTGCTGTATTTTCTGTGGAAGCACACGTAGAAATTAGAGATGCTAACTACTTAAAACTAACTAATCCTGCATAATCTTCCCTGTGTTATTTTTAAAGCAATGACTGTACATCAGAACATCTAGTCTGAGGACATCTTGCCATCTTAATATTCCCCGAGCCATACATTACTAATACCAATTCAGAGGCTATTCAGGACCACTCCAAGTTTGCTATTAAGACACTGTTTTATTCTGTCTCTTCTGCCAATCTTTGCTGTACCTAAGGAGACTACCAGTTCTGGAGCAGGTTCTGTCTTTCTGATTCTGATAAACCCATTCACTGCTGGCAAGATAAGACAGCATGCTAGTATTTGAATATGAAGCTCTGGAGTTTCATGGGGTCAATGTTTAGAGCCTATATCAAGAGGGTGCTTGTCAAAATGTTACAAAAGACATGACCTTCAGTGTAGCATCAAACTTCAGCTGAAAAGCAGGCCCGACCATGTGTCAAAGTACAGTAGCATAAATAAGATATTGGCCATAGATATGCCGATGACAGATGTAAGTGTAAGTATAAAGTGTGCTCTCTATAAATAGAATAAACATAGAAGGTGCTGGAAGTGCAGGCTATTTGTATAGCTGATGACCTATAGAATAAAATAGCAACATCATCACCGTTCACTGAGAGAGTGCAATATTTCAAGACAACCCCTATACGAGGGATCAATTAGAAATGTAGAGGCACTACATCTAGAGATACATATTCTAGGTCTTTCTGCAAAAACATGATTTAGGGCAGAAAGTGAAATCAGGGCTACCTTTAAAATGCTCGCATTATCTATTTCCTGAAGGTGTGTCTGAAATATATTTTGCCTTAATTCCTTATCAGGGAGGTACAGTTTTCACCCAGGTTTCAGCAGCACTCCTTTTTCATCCTTGGACTCCTTTTTAATCATTTTTAATTTGTCGAATGAAATACTCTTTCTTGGCTTCGGTGTGGGGTTGAAGGTGGTTGAGTGTGTGTGTGAGAGAGACAGTGAGTCACATAGTGATAGGGCTGATTAGAAATGTGTTGGTATCTTTGCCTCAAACATTTCTGCATCATGTTCAGAGCCAGATTCTGCCACCTTTGGTAATGCTGAGCAGTATTTAGCTCCTTCAGTAGTCCTGTGGATTTCATTGGAACTACTGGCAGAGTAAGGTACTACGCAGCATGAGTCAAACTGACAAGACCTAGATCGTGATGATTATTCCTCTTCTGCTCAGGTATGGCCATCTACCCAGATGGAGTTTTTTGCAGGATGGGAGGGGGCGGGGCTAAGGGCCTGATCCTGCAAACTTTTGCACAAGTAACTTGGACTCAAGTGTGTAATGTTTCTCCCATGCACTTAAATCTTTGCAGGATCCAGCCCTCAGAGTACCATGCTTCTCACCCCAAAACAACAACCAAAAACCCAGCATAGAGGAGGGCAAGTGGCATAAAACATGGAAGTAAAGTGGCCCGAGTGGTGCTAGACACACCTATGATTAGATCCAGCTTTTTTGATTGGTTGGTTGTTTTTGATTAAGCCTTAAGACAGATCATAGAAGAAGGGTGGTGGTGAGTGATACCTTTAAAATACATACTCCGTTTGTATGTACTGTACACACAAATGTGTATATCTTAAATACTTTAAAATACACCTGACTATATCTGGCTGCCTCCCAATCTCTCCATTATACCTACATGGCCCATCATTACCATAGCATTGGAGTGTCTCACAAGTCTTCAATTACAGCACCTACAATTACCACAGCTGTAAGAGACCAGACCTTTTGTTTTTGTTGTTTCATTTTATTCTGTATATTTAATGACACTTTGTACACAGCTGTCTCCATCCTTGACAATTTCTAATCAAGACTGGATGTTTTTCTAAACGTTGTTCTCTAGGAATTATTTTGGGAAGTTCTATGGCCTGTGTTATACAGGAGGTCAGACTAGATGATCACAATGGTCCCTTCTGGCCTTGGAATCTGTGATATTCTACACCAGTGATGCTTGTCAAATATACCAAACCCATAATCCAGTCACAGTGACTCGTGCTAGCTCCCATGAGTCTCACATTCCTGTATCTACTACATGACGCTAACATGACCAAATAGGGAGATGTTGATACAGCTACACTAGAAAATTTAGATATTTTTCTAAATATTGTTGTGACACCTTTAAGATGATATCCAGTGAAACCACTTCTCAAACTGAATTTGTAGCATGGCGTGTATTTAGTGATCGCAGTTTTGACAGTAATATATGAGTAATTTTAAAATGTCCTTTTACACTGAGGGGAAAGGAGTATGTAGTGCATAGGAATTGGGTAGTATCCCTTTGAATAGTTTGGTAGCCCTCTAATGGGCCTCCCTGTTTTCTGCTGCAGAAGTTACCAGATCCTAACAGAGCAATAGCATATACATGGAGCTGAGCCTTCTATGGCTATGTCTACACTTGTGATGGGAAGTAGAGTACAGACTTTGCTAACACAGGTATAAATAGCAGTATAGAAGGTAAGGCACAGTTTGAGCAAGTAGAGTACAGACACACCAGAACCTAAGGGTATATATCCTACACAGCTCTCCGTTCGCTCAAGCAGTGCCTCCCCTGTCTACACTGCTATTTTTCCCTGCACGGTGAAAGACTGCCAGAAGAGAGGGCTCTGGGGCGGGGGAGGCAGCTTCTTGTTACCACCGCCTTTTCCCACTGCCCACCCCCCATCCAGAGCCTTTCACTTTCACGTAGCTACGTGCTGCAGTGTTGATGGAGTCCGCTTTTCACTGTGACATGTAACTACCCTCCATGCTGCGGCCAGTGTTGACAAGGCCTATGCTTGTATATGGTTAGCAAATATGGTTACTTGGAACCCATTGTGTCTGGGCGATTACCTCATGTTATTAATGTTGTGTAGTGGGATTCTTTTTTTGCCGTCTCTCAACAACTTCTAAGTCAAATATGATTAGTTTGCAATAAACAGAACTTTTTCTTTTATATCTGCCAACCCTGCAAACTCAATCTGGTCTCTGAGTGTCAAGCTGGGTTTTTCCCTTCTCGTGTATCACTGTTGTTAATAAGGATCCTGCAGGATAAATTAGGTCCTCTAGATACCTGCTGGATTTGCATGGCTGTAAATGATTGGAACCTGGTGAATAATTCCCTGGATGATGCACAAGAAGAAGTACAACCCAGCTCGCTCTTTCTTAGCTAGATTGGCTCTGGAGGGCTCAGAGCAGTAAAAATCAGAATATTATTACTTTTGTCACTAAAGTCAGAGGACAGGACTATAAACAAACACAGGGAGCAAATGTCTGGTATGACAAGTTTCCTTTCAAATAACCATATTTCAGAGTAGAATTACATTGTCAGGGCAACAGACTCCAGACTCTGTCAGAAACATCAGGGAAGTGAATTGCAGAGCCATGGCTACCAGTCACAGGCAGGCACCAGCTTCCAGATGTTTCATTCCAGGGACTGTTGGTCTGAGTGTCCCAAGTAACCTCACCTGCCATAGCAACTCATGTGGGAAGAGGTTGTCTCTCACGTAGCCAGGACCCAAACCACGTGGGGCCTTTTATGTCACGTATGACAGCATAATGAGGATTCCAAGCCACAGGCCTTTAACCTTGTATGTATGAGGTTGATGAACTTCGAATTTTTCATTTCGTAATGTATCATTCTGCTTCTCTCTGATGCTTAGAAACAACTCCAGAGAAAACAACCACGCAGTGCATCCAAAAACAAATTTAATACGAGGAGGCCTGAGGCTTGGCTTCTCAACAGTATGACTTTAAAATATCTCCAGCCTGTTATCCACATGAGTCATCTTTCAAGGTCAGTATCCTGTTCATTCCAGCTGGTCTTTAAATAGTCCTTCTACGGGGCACCATCAGTATCGTAAAAGTAGTCACTTGTGTGTAATGAAGAGCAAGCTGACAAACATGTAATTTAGGCATTTGCATTCTTTTTTCATTATTGGGGGTTCATTTGTTTCCGGGCACCTTCTAAGTCACAGACATTTCCAGCACAGGACTCTTTTCTTCTCAGGTTGGAAGCACAGGCGAATGACTACCTACATAAATGCTATTGATGCTACTGCTTAGCCATCTGGATGGGTGATGTTTCTATATGTAACATCTGGGTAGCCTTAAGACATATTGTCTTCTTTGCAATGCACTCAGCAGCCCTCTGCGGGCCTGCAAGTGTATTCCAGGACATTGCTTTGCTGGATTGCTCATCGGCAACATACTACCACTGTCAAAAGGTCACCTTACTCACTATGAATATGAAATATGACCTTCCTTTCTAGGGGCTGCCTTGGAGCCATTGCTATGACATTTCTGGAGAAATTTAAAAAGGAGAGACTGTGCAGCCAAAGCCATGAGTTGCAATAGTTTTGACAAACAGAGATGTAACAAACAGTCCTACAGTTGCTCAGATGATACTAAAGTTGGCCTGTTTATTGCTCTGTGAACAGAAAAGCAGATATAACCTCTCTTCTTTACAGTGTCATTTGCTTTCCAATTTGGATCAGCTGCGCGGTATCCAGTTCTCCCATAAAGAGACCCTTTGCAATCAGGTCTGGGTCCGGGGTTTTTGCCGCCCCAAGCAGCGCCCCCCCCCCCCAAAAAAAAGCCGCGATCGCGATCTGCGGCACTTCGGCAGCAATTCGGCAGGAGGTCCTTCACTCTGAGCCGGAGTGAGGGACCCTCCGCCAAATTACCACCGAATAGCTGGACGTGCCGCCCACCTCCGGAGTGGCCACCCCAAGCACCTGCTTGCTAAGCTGGTGCCTGGAGCTGGCCCTGTTTGCAATATAGGAAAACACAAGGGAAAGAGTGCTAGGAATGACTATAAATTATGCTTTTGTGTGGTTGGCGTTGCTGGAAAATTAATTTCCTTCCAATATTTTCGTGTTGAGTACATCTGTCTCTGTGGAAAAGAGAAGACCCTATTGGGGCATCAAGTCAACTAGAGAAAGCAATGTTTAAGCAAATGAAGAACACGACTGAGGGGAAAAAAAGCATAGTAACTTTTTCTTCCAGTTTGCAAAAAGCAACATAACTAGAGAAGACCTTGAAACAATATATTTTTTTAAATTTTTGCTGTCACTGGCATGATTATAATTGAAGTCAGTCTCTAGAAAACAAAATTTAAAAGGTGCTGAAGTCCTCCACGCACAACATTGGTATAACATGGGCAACATTTCCCTTCAAGCTATCCTACTCCTGATGGTCTGACAGTGACTCTTTCAGTCCTTGGAGTATTTGTTGACAAAGACAACAAGGATATTTACTGTGATGCATTTTTTGACAAGGACACCAGTGGTAACTGGACCAATGCTACCAACTTTTAGTCATCACCAGTTGGAGCTAAATTTGAATGAGCACCGGGAAGGTGAAAGACTCTAGCCTAATACCCTGTTCCTCTACTCCTCTGACCAGACAGTCTTTTGAAATAAGGACTCTTTTTTTTTTTTTTATAGCACTCTATCTGGGTTTCTTCTGTGAACTTCCCCGTCTCTGTTGTTTAGTTAACTAAATGGGCAATGATAATGCGTGTTGTATGACTCTCCTGTGGCCAGCCTGCTGACTGATAATAGAAGAGTATGACTATATGTGCTGGAATAATTTCCAGAGCTTGTCCCAGCACCAGAGTACAGCATGCTGTGTAGTCTAGTTCGCAGTGTTTCAAGGAGCTTTTTCATTGCTCTGCTGTGCAGACATTACTGTATGAATACTCTGCCAGTGTTGAACTTTCCTCTTTCTGACATTCAGATTTAATAAAATTACGTAAATTAGAGACTATGTATTTGCAACAGCTCTTTATGCAACATAACGTGGTGAACCTACCAGATTCCCTCTTTGATACAATAATAATCCCAACCACCTCCATCCAATCTTAATACCATCTTCTTGAGAGGGGAGAAAAAAACTCAGACAGGATCAAGGTGTACAGTTCAGAGCTGGATTTTGCTCCCTTTTCCATCCACTTTTTCCCAAAACAAACTTTGGGGGTGCTGAGATGGAGGAGTTCGGTTCAATCCATTGCAGAGTGCAACATTTGGATCTGGCTCTTGGTTTGGGTTCAGAACCCATTTCTCCATCTATTAAAGCCCAAGTGGCATGGTCATGGCTGTATATTTCTGATGAGCCTGACACTGTGGTATTTGGGCATCAAAAGAATGACATAAAGCTAGGATCTGTCCAAAAGCCTGTATTCTCCACTGTTCTCTAATACGGTGCTTTCAAAGGAGGGTTAATTTCTTCCATTTTAAAAATGTTTTTAAATATTATGTGACACACTGGAGTACATCTGGGAAATAATGGTGGGCCACTCCTGGAGGATTTTATTTTGGGACAGTTGTGGCAGAGAAATGGTGTAACCGGCTGGCAATTCTTGCCTGAAACCCTCACCCTGTGAGTAAGCAATGATCTTGATGAGAAGTGTTAAGTGGGTTTTGCTGACTCACTGATGCAGCTGATTCATTACCTCATTCACAAACAAGAGAAGTAGGACGAGCTCTTGGGCAGATGAGTGAGTGTTGGTTTCGGACAGATCGTCTGGGTGGGTTTAACTCATAGGAGCTGCTAGGGTTGAGGTGGATTGGGAGGCTGGAATTACATGTGGTATTATTTTAGAAGCACATTTTAACTAATAAACTAGACTCAGGAGGAGTGATTTCATTATAACTCTATGGGCCAGATTGGCTGTTGCCAATGCCATTAGTAGAGCTATGTCAATGTACATGTTGAACTGGCTCTGTGAGTGTGTAGGATTTTTTGCAAAATCCATCTCACTCCAGTGGATCTTTCATTCCTATCTAAAAGCGATAAGATCCATGACCACCCTGTCTTTGGATGGAAAGAAATTCAATAATTGGGAGGCCGCATCATGGAGAAACCCTTTTTTTGTCCATAAAAGTAAAGCCCTTAACACATCAATGGTCTGTTGATTGTAGCTGAAGTTCTGAATCATGAAGAGAAATGTGATGGTCAGATCCATGATTTTAGTTTGGGGGATGGCTTTAAAAACAGAAAGTGAATATTCATCTTCTTATCTCCTAATGGAATAATAAGAAATTTATGCTCAGCTGGATAGCAAATGTCGCTGTTTTTTCTCTCTTGTTCTTTTCGTATGTATCCTACAAAACTAGACAGTGGGGATTTTCCTAGAGCTGTTGTTTAATTTGACCTTCTGGTTCAGGAATTTCTACATGATGTTGTGCTTAAAAATGCAGAAATATGACCCAAACCACCACTCACACTCAATCTCCTATGCTCATTTGAGACACTTTAGTAAGATTTGATTAGAAGGGGAGTGAAACGGGAAGGTAGAAAATAATGACTTTTGTATCATTTTTTTAGAGGGTTGGAGAGAAGGAGAAATATTCTTTTTGTTGTAGGTGGGGGGTTGGGGGGAACAGCAGTGGAGGTGATATACCATAAAACCTTCACTTTATTGAGAGCCTACAAACTGAGCTGCTGAGCAGATTGTACGGAAAAGGCATCCTGTAATCTCAGTACTCAATCCTCAACTGCTGTAAATCAGCGTAGCTTCAGTGCAACTAAACTGAGTTATACCAGAGGAGGATCTGGCCTGGCCCACACAGTCCACCCAAACTTGAATGGACATGTAACTCACTGCCCTAAAGTCACACCAACCTTGGAGAAGATTGTGAGTTCACTCCACTAGAGCAGCGGTTCTCAAACTTCATTGCACCGCAACCCCTTTCTGCTAACCAAAATTACTACATGACCCCAGGCTGCGGTGGGACAGAGCTTGAGCCCCTCTGCCCAGGGCTGAAGCCTTTGGGCTTTGGCTTCGGCTTCAGCCCCGGGCAGCAGGGCTCAGGCTTTGGCTTCAGTCGTAGGCCCCAGTGAGTCTAACACTGGCCCTGACAACCCCATTAAAATGGGGTCACGACCCACTTTAGGATCCTGACCCACAGTTTGAGAACCACTGCACTAGAGTGTCCCCATTATACTTGCACTGCTGATGCAATGGCACAGAGGGACAAAAGTACATGTGCCTGCCCAGGCAGTGGAAAAGGTCTGAGGTAGGTTCAGTCATTTACATCAAAGCTGGCTAATAAAGGAAAGCCTCCCTTGGACTTGTTAACCAATTGCTCCCTTTAGACACATGCATCAGATGCTGTTGGAAGCCTCTGGTTGTGTTAAAATGATGGAATTTAATAATAATACTTAGCGCTTACCCAGAGCTTCACATTATTCAAAGCACCAACATTAATTAATTCTCACAAACCCCGCTTGTGTCGCAACTCACGCTGTCACTGTTGAAGCCAGATTCTGGACTAGATAAATCACAGGACTGATCAATTTCAGAAATTTGTATGTTCCTTTGAGGATGAAAATGACGTTGTACTAGTTCCCTTTTAATGCTGGGGAAGTTGAGATACCGAGAGGTTGTGCATTGCCCAAGGTCACATAGAGCCATCGGTGGAGCTGGAAGTAGAATTGGGAGTTTCTGGCACCTGGCCCCAAGAGCCATCCACTGGATGCCTCTTGAATATGAATACAGATTGCTGTATGATCGCTTCCCCTCCACCGCCTTGTTTTGTTTTGCAGCCTCTGTTTGAGGTTCAAAAGGCCTTTCCTAAATTAATGCATTAAAAGTATGAAGGCCTGCATATCTACAATGTAATACACAACTTCCAACTGGCAGAAAGAGGTTCTGTTTCCATATGTAATGGCATATTTGTGTGATAAAATATCTCTAGGAGCAGAGCATGGCCCTGGACTTCATCAGAGGGAAAAGAGAGGCAAACAATTGACAGCTTTAATAAAGCTTGCTGTCAGATTCCTGACTTGACC